TTTGACCCAACCCACGTCTTGAATTTCTGGGTTTTCTTCTTAACTTCGTCGACTGCCGCATGGTTCATGTGTAGGGATCCCATCTTATTTCTAGAGGCACTGGGTTTGGTCTTGGGTATATATTTATCCATCAAATGGGTCACTTTACTAGTTATGATATTCAGCGTAATGTCTGCGTTCTTGTACCTTAATGAGTCAGGCCAGTGGATACCCCTCATCTCTTCCCTCATCCCGTTGTAATATTTGCACCTTGGCCTGGCCTTATCTTGAACAAGGTAACAGTTAAATCTGAATGACAACACTATATGGTGACTGGTGCCAACTCGGGCAAGATGTTCCAGTTTGGCCACCATACCCTCCTCGCTTGTTATGATGAGGTCTAGTGGCTTGGGTGTTTGCTCCCCTCTGTAATGTGTCGGGTCTCTAACATGTTGGAACAGAAAATTATCTCTCAGAGTTTCTACAAAAAGAGTAGCAGGGTTATTCAAGTCATTTGGGGTGAACTCGTTTCTCCAGAGCTGGTGGACGTCTGCCCCACGATGGGTCACAGCTCAAGATTCAAGAAGCCACAAGTCCACAATTCAGAGAGAGAGTTGTGAACTCTTGGAACAATCTGCCAGAAAGTGTTGTGACGGCACCGAGTGTGAGCTCTTTCAAGACCAGACTTGACCAATACTGGAGCGGGTTCAGGTACATTCAGGAGCCGGTGCATGCCCAGTACCTGCCATTAGCGTGTAACAGACGTGATCGACCGCCCAAGAGGATAAAGTAATGTAGACCTTTTTTCTCTTTGTAGCCTTTACTACTCACTTTTAGTTTTTACGAGGATATATTATAATAATATAAATAATATTTTCAACAACATTTTATTATGTACTTTTTGTTTTAAAAATTTTCAGTGACGAAAGAGATGTTTTTCATAGATTAATTTTAGGACTCAATTGGCTGCCAACTGGAGATGTGTTTGTTGCAGTAATATGTGAAGCTTTTTAGTTGTGGTTGAACTCAATAATGTATGTTTATTTCTTCCTCTTTACCACTGACCGGCTTGTTAACCTCTTGCGCGGTCGGTCATGTCTCTACTATACACTGTTGGCAAGTACTGTGCATGTACTGGCTCCTGAATGTATCTGTAATTACGTCAGTGTTGGTCAAGTACATGTTCAGTACTTGTCAACTGCGTAACAGCGACATGACCGACCACCCAAGAGGCTAACAATTAGGAGAGGATGAAGTAAGGTAACTGTGTCAAGCAGGAGCGTCCAAGCATAAGACCATGTCGTCAGTCCTGTACAAGGTTGTTTCGCAGTAGATGTTCCACCATGGCATCTCTTATAAATGGTCTCTAGTATTTTAGACTGGTGATCAAGCTGACCGGCCTATAGTAATGCAGTGTCAGTGAGCTTTGTACTAAAAGAAGCTAAATTTTTGGTTTAACAAATTTATTGGCAGAGCTTGTAGTACAGTTTGCCTATTCTGAGTAATTCAGTCAGGTCTTGACACTGAGGGTGGTATCACTTCTCACTGTCACGCAGGACAGAGGTTCACACACAAAGAAATACATCATATTCATTAACAACTATAAATGTATATAGGTCAGGTTCATATGGATAATGTCACTGTTCACTGCCATGCAGGACAGAGGTTCGTACACAAAGAGTTGCATCATATTCATTGACAGTACATATACATATATGTAAACACACACACACACATATACATACATATACGTATATACATACACATATACATGTACACGTACATATACATGCACACACGCACACATACATACATATACGTCGGTCAGATTCATGTGGGTAATGTCACTTTTCACTGCCATACAGGACAGAGGTTCGTACACAAAGAATGCATCATATTCATTGACACTATATATAGGTCAGATTCATGTGGGTAATGCCACTGTTCACTGCCACGCAGGACAGAGGTTCGTACACAAAGAAGGAAATACATCACATTCACCAGCAGCATACTTTTTACTTTTTACTTTTATCCTCTTCGCCACTGATCGGCTTGTTAGCCGCTTGGGCGATCGGTCACGACTCTTTTCCTTTATATTCTTCACCAAAAGGTCGGCTCGCTAGCCGCCCGGGCGATCGGTCACGTCTCTGTCACGCACTGTTGGCAAATACTGGGCATGCACCGGCTCCTGAATGTACCTGAACCCGCTCCAGTGTTGGTCAAGTCTTCTCTTGAAAGAGCTCACACTCGGTGCCGTCACAACACTCTCTGGTAGATTGTTCCAAGAGTTTACAACCCTCACTCCGAAAAAGTTTGCCCTCACGGTTTTCCGGACTTGCGGCTTCTTCAATCTTGAGCTGTGACCCCTTGTGGGGCGAGCGTCCGCCAGCTCCAAGTAAGGACACTCAACTGAGTAGTGCCCCCTGAGATGCTTATAAACCTCAACTAGGTCCCCCTTGCCCGTCTGTAGTATAAGCTAGGCAAGTTCAGGCGCTCCAATCTCGCAGGGTAGCTGAGATGCCGAAGTGCAGGCACCAGCTTGGTGGCCCTCCTTTGAACATTTTCAACCAACTGACAGTCCCTAGCATATCTCGGGGACCAGATGGGGTGACAGTACTCCAGATGGGGAAGCACTTCACTCCTGAAGATCGTCACGAGGGACGGACCGTCTAGATATCTGAACGACCTTCTTATAAGACCCAATAATTTATTTGCCTGATTTACCTTCTTCTCACAATGGCCCGAGAACTTCAGCTCATTGTCAACATACACACCTAGGTCCTTCTCACACACAGTCTCAACTAGTACATTTTCTTCATCCCGTTGGGACATATGGTACGCCTCCTTACCGTTGGTACGCCCCAGGTGCATCCTCTTACACTTCGTGACATTGAATCTCAGCAGCCATTCCTTCGACCATTCCTGGAGCCCACAGAGGTCCTTCTGCAGCTCTTCACAGTCCGCTTGGTTCTTAATTTCCCGAAATAACTTGGCGTCATCGGCAAACATTTGTATGGAGGAGTGTACAACGTCAGGCATATCATTTATGAAACAAACAAACAACAGCGGGCCCAATACACTACCCTGCGGTACCCCACTTGTTACAGGTACAGATGACGATTTCGTGCCATTAATCACCACACATTGCTTGCGGTCATGTAGAAAGTCTTCTATCCACGCTAGGACATTTCCCCGAATTCCGTACCCTTCCAGTTTGATTTTCAGCCTTTCGTGGGGTACACTGTCGAAAGCCTTGGCAAAATCTAGGTAAATATTGTCGATATTACCACCCCGTTCTAGAATATGGGTCCAAATATCCAATACCTTGAGCAATTGTGTCAAGCAAGAGCGCCCCGGCATAAAACCGTGTTGGCAATCTTTTACAAGGTTGTTTCGTAGTAGATGTTCCATCGCTGCATCTCTGATAATACTCTCAAGTACTTTACATATTATGCTGGTCAGGCTCACCGGTCTATAGTTGTTCGTGGAGTGCCTATCGCCCTTCTTGAAGATAGGACTCACATAAGCCACTTTCCATTCACTGGGGACCATTTGTTCATCCAGGCATTTACAAAACAGAATCTTCAGGGGCTCTGCAAGCTCGTTGCACAGCTCCCTTAGCACTCTAGGATGCACCATGTCAGGTCCAGGACTCTTATGGACCTTTAGCCTGGACAGTTTATTTCTAATACCCTCTTCTGTGAACACAATGTGGGTCAGTGCTGTGTCGAACCGTCTGTCCTCAAACGCAGGAAGGTTAGTTGCATCCTCTCTTGTGAACACTGAGGAAAAGAAGCTGTTCAATGCCTCAGCTTTATCCTGGTCAGAATCTGCGTAACTACCATCTTCAAGCCTCAGGTCTGATACTCCTACTCGCGTTTTCAATTTCGACTTTGCATAGCGGTAAAACGCCTTTGGGTTTGACTTGACCTCGCGTGCAACCAGCCTTTGGAACTCCTTTTCAGCCCTCCTACACTCTATCTTTGCTTGGTTTCTGGCTCTTGCATACATCCTCCTGTCTTGCTCATCGTTTGACCCAACCCACGTCTTGAATTTCTGGGTTTTCTTCTTAATTTTGTCGACCGCCGCATGGTTCATGTGTAGGGATCCCCTCGTATTCCTAGAAGCACTGGGTTTGGTCTTGGGTATATATTTATCGATCAAATGGGTCATTTTACTAGTTATGATATTCAGCGTAGTGTCTGCGTTCTTGTACCTTAATAAGTCAGGCCAGTTGATACCCCTCATCTCTTCCCTCATCCCATTGTAATTTCCCTTGTAATATTTGCACCTTGGCCTGGCCTTATCTTGAACTAGGTAACAGTTAAATCTGAATGACAACACTGTATGGTGACTGGTGCCAACTGGGGCAAGGTGTTCCAGTTTGGCCACCATACCCTCCTCGTTTGTTATGATGAGGTCAAGTGGCTTGGGTGTTTGCTCCCCTCTGTAATGTGTCGGGTCTCTCACATGTTGGAACAGAAAATTATCTCTCAGAGTTTCTACAAAAAGAGTAGCAGGATTATTCAAGTCATTCGGGGTTGACTCGTTTCTCCAGTCGATGTCAGTGGATCACATACATTGGAGTCATATTCTAATTGAAGACTAATCAGTGTGGGCTAGCAAATTTGGGATAAACAGCAAGAATGTCCTCAAGCACACCTGATTCAATGAAGTAATTACATAGTTCAAGATACAATAAGTCAGGTGGCCTGAAGTCTTTGACAGTGTCACATTCAATAATATAGTGTTCAAGTGTATGCTTTAAAGGTTTATCACAAAGTTTACATGCTGAGTGTTCCGGTATGGGTACAGCGTTACTAACTTGCCAGATGTGTCTGTATCCTAGCCTAATTCTGGCCACGACTACATCACATTGTCTGGTTCTGTCCTTATGCTGGCCATACCGGTACCTCTAAATAGATTGAATTCTTACAAAAGCACAGGTTATAGGGGATGGTCTCTATGACTTGAAAAACAAACTGTCTATGCTATACAGTATATGCATTCTTTACCATTAGTACCAGATATAAATATTTAGAAGAGTTACCGTTCGTTTCCTGTTTCTATATCTTGTTAGCGTTTTCTGTGTTAGTAGTTCTTATGAGGGGATGATGTTTACACTATGTCAACACTTACTAGTCGTCACTTTTTTCTTGGTTGTTGAGATGAGTTTTATCACTGTCAGGCGGCACTACACTCCCCACCGATGTGTTTGTCTTATTATCTTTCTGGAGAGCTTTCTTACTCTCCAGCCTTGTTAGTTTCCCGACAGCACCAGTTTTACCCTTGTGACCGACACTATCCTGGCCGGACTTGCCACCCTCCGCTGCCTTGTCTTCCTTGGCACTTCCCCTACCTGTGTGTTTACTGGTGGGAGTATCCTTTTTAGCACTGTCTCTTTGTGCAGGAGGTTTGCCAGGGGTAGTTTCCCTCCTGTTGGGCTTGATGTGGCTGGGTGCACTAGGTCTGAGGGAAGCAGGTTGGACAGCAGTACGTGCAGCGTTAGTGACAGTGATGGCGTCTAAAAGGAAGTTATGTAGTCGCTTCAAGACGGTGGAGGTGGCGGCGCGGGGTCCTAGAGGTGGTAGAGAACGCTGATACGCCCTCGCCACGCTGTAGATGTTAACGAGGGCGAGACGGACGCGTGTGAGGTGCGTGTGTGTGTGTGTGGAGGCCGTCTGGAGGGCAGCAAGCCGCGCCTCCATCTCCCCAAGGCTACGAGATGAGGTCCACCCAGTTGAGCGTTCCCGGTACAGCTGCAGGAGTGCTTGACCCTCTCGCTCCTTCTCGCTCTGAAGACAAGAAGAATGGTGTCATTATTATTGCCACGACAATACCACTATGTAATCCTTTATTTATTTGTCAGACTTCAATCCTAATATCACCTTCACCACCGCCATCAATCATTCATGAAAACACATACGTAAAATAACAGGAACATCTTGTATTACTACAGTTTGTTTATAATGTTATCAACTTAATCACTCACAACTAATCGGACCCAAAACACCTACTATGGTACTACTTAAGACCCCCGTGGACCTGAGACCACTCCTGGCCCTGAAGAACCTGCGGACCTGAGACCCTCCATGACCCTGAAGACCCGCGGACCTGAGACCCTCCATGACCCTGAAGACCCGCGGACCTGAGACCACCCATGACCCTGAAGAACCTGCGGACCTGAGACCACCCATGACCCTGAAGAACCTGCGGACCTGAGACCCTCCATGACCCTGAAGACCCGCTGACCTGAGACCACCCATGACCCTGAAAACCCATATACTCCAGGACCTAACTAAGACTTAACTATCCCCGAACCAACCTAAGACCCGCTATGACTCTATCTACGAACCACTACGGACCAACCTAAAAATAAAGACTTTCTACGGACTTAACAAAGACCCAACGTAAGGACACGGACCTGCACGAAGACCAGCAGCTGACGACGAGCTTGGTGCAGCTGGTGGAAGGCGTGGTTCACCCTCAGTAGTAGCTCAAGACGCAGTGTCAGCAGGTCACGGAAGCGGCCACACACGCCCGTGACCGTGGCTGTCTCCTTGCCGAACGTGGCCACACTCCTCTCTACGTACTCCTGGAGGCACCGTGTACAGGAGAAGGTAATGCAGACGGAGGCAGTGTGTGTGTGTGTGTGTGTGTGTGTGTGTGTGTGTGTGTGTGTGTGTGTGTGTGTGTGTGTGTGTGTGTGTGTGTTAAATACTCTAGGTGTGTATGAATCAAAATATGCGGGTAATTATGAATATATATGTATTTCTTATGAAATTTTATATGAAGGGCCATGATATATGTCTGTTATTAAAGAGGAACACTTGTGAATGGTTGATCTCTCTATGTGTATAAGTAAAAGTAATTGTTGCACATACAGTACAGTACACAATATACACGAGTGGAGAAAACTTATCACGACACCTTAATTATAAACCATATTTAATAAAACTTGTACACACTGGGACCCTGAAACAGGGAGAGAAACAGATGACTGACCTTGTAACCTCAGATGGGACAGCCTATGACAGTCACTCCATTCCCCCCTTGAGGAACATCCACAATAAGCCCCCTTCATTTTTCCCCGAAAACCATTAAAAACAACGATGAAAATAATAACTGTAAAACGATAATGCTATAACATTTGAATTCATTCATTGAATGACACATAAGTAAAATAAAAAGTCATATTGAAATGAAATAAAGCAAATTTTACCCTGCCAAGGCGAAGTATATAATAGAAACCCCTGAAATATTGCCGTGGGCTCCCTGGTCCCCACATCGGGAACCGATGCTGTACAGTAAGTATGGCCTTGGCTCATAGAGTGAGAGAGACACTAACCTTGTATGTGGAGTAAGTGGCGACCTTGGCGGTGGTGGCAGCAGTAGTCCTCCGTGTGGTGTGGATCAGCTGCTGTAGACGTTCCACTTCCTGCTCCTGCGTGTCTTCTTCCTCCTCCTGACGCTTTAGGAGCTTCTCTCCATCTTCCCTTCGCGCCTCTTGAGCCTGGGGAGAGTAGGGATGGTGTTACTGAGATAAAGATGTAACACTAAGAGCAGCTCATAAACACCTGTCAGAACAATCTCCCACAGTACCTGAAGGACTATAGATGCTCCCATGCCTCTCCCACAGTACCTGAAGGACTATAGATGCTCCCATGCCCCTCCCACAGTACCTGAAGGACTATAGATGCTCCCATGCCTCTCCCACAGTACCTGAAGGGCTATAGATGCTCCCATGCCTCTCCCACAGTACCTGAAGGACTATAGATGCCCCCATGCCCCTCCCACAGTACCTGAAGGACTATAGATGCTCCCATGCCCCTCCCACAGTACCTGAAGGACTATAGATGCTCCCATGCCCCTCCCACAGTACCTGAAGGACTATAGATGCTCCCATGCCCCTCCCACAGTACCTGAAGGACTATAGATGCCCCCATGCCCCTCCCACAGTACCTGAAGGACTATAGATGCTCCCACTGCCTCTCCCAGACCTGAAAGGACTATAGATGCCCCCATGCCCCTCCCACAGTACCTGAAGGACTATAGATGCTCCCATGCCTGAAGGACAAAGATCTCACACCTCCCAGTACCTGAAGGACTATAGATGCTCCCTTTCTCCCCAGTACCTGAAGGACTATAGATGCTCATGCCCTCACGTCCTGAGATGCCCCACTCTACATGATGCTCCTGCCTCACATGCAACTGCCTCCCACAGTACCTGAAGGACTATAGATGCTCCCCATTGCCTGAGGACTATAGTGCCCCATGCCCCACCCCCCTCCCACAGTACCTGAAGGACTATAGATGTCCCATGCCTCTCCCCAGTATGAAGGACTATAGATGCTCATGCCTCCCAGTACCTGAGGACTACCATTATGCCTCCCACAGTACCTGAGACTATAGATGCCTCGCCTCCCACAGTACCTGAAGGACAGATGCCCCCATGCCCCTCCCACAGACTATAATTCTCCCCACAGTACCTGAAGGACTATAGATGCCCCCATGCCTCCCACAGTACGAAGGACTATAGATGCCCATGCCTCCCACAGTACCTGACAGACTATAGATGCTCATGCTCTACCACCACTATTGATTCTTCCCCCATGCCCCTCCCCAGTACCTGAGAGGACTATAGATGCCCCCATGCCCTCCCACAGTACCTGAAGGACTATAGATGCCTCCATGCCCCTCCCACAGTACCTGACGGACTATAGATGCTCCCATGCCTCTACGTACCTGAAGGACTGCCCCCTGCCCTCCCCAGTACCTGAAGGACTATAGATGCCTCCATGCCCCTCCCACAGTGCCCGAAGGACTATAGATGCCCCCATGCTCAGTTGAAGGACTGTAGATGCTCCCATGCCTCACAGTACCTGAAGGACTATAGATGCTCCCATCTACAGTACCTGAAGGACTATAGATGCTCATGCCCTCACAGTACTGACTGTGATATCCTCCACCTGAAGGACTATAGATGCCCCAGGCCCTCCCAGTACCTGAAGGCTCATGTATCAGTATGTCGTGGACCAGAGTGGCGTAGCGGCTGTGTTCTCTCTGGCGCTGGTGGTGGATGGTAGTGGGGCGGCGTTGTAGGATGTGGTGTGAGGCCGCACCTTCACCCCGTACTGTACACCCGCCACGCTCTCACGCGACCTCCCCGACCTCACATATCTGTCTGGGCAGAGTAGAGATCCTGAGGTCATATGTTATATAGCTTAGATCCGGTTCCTTAAACGTTCGTGCATTAAACTGACTTAATGTGTGAACTAACCAGCATTACGTGTTAGTTGTGGCCCCAACGTAGTGACTAAAACCGTCTTGACCATAACAGTACCACAACACACGAAGTATCGCTCCCAGCTATAAGAGTTATAACCAGTAACCAGACTGTAGTTGAGCGAGGAGTGTGACCCACGCCTGTATAGTGTGAGTTTGCCATAAGTCACCCCAATTTATCTCAATGCTAGGGGCTGATCCGGGGGCAGGGGGTGTCCTGGGGTCTGGACTCCTTCTTTCCTAAAAATCCCAATCTTTCTTTATACAGTATTGTAGGCATTTTGTAAAACTAATTCTATTGACTCATAATATCTCCTAATATCAAGGTACAAGGCTTCAAATAGCAAAAATACCATGATATTGGTCAGATTTAAAAACTTCTGAGGAGGCTTACAGGCCCCCCCTCAAAAAAAGACGCGCTGTGCTCGCCTGTTCCTCCACCCACAACTTCTTGGTCCCCATTTTTTATTCCTGGACCCCCCCTGTATATCATAGTGCCTCTACCTCACTCTTCTTACCTGGCTGTCTGTTCTATCTATTTATTCTTGTCTGATTAGGTCTCCATGGGCATACAGTATATATATAATATTAAATAAATAAATAGATGTGCCTATAGGTTGTTTTGTAGACCTGTAATATGTAAGGCCGGTGAGGAGTGGGACTTGTCAGTATACAGTCCGACTTAAAAGCAATTTGCCTGTAGTTATTTAGAGTCCCGTTGATATCAGAAAGATGACTAAGACTGTCAATAATTGATGTCCATTTGGACGTTCACGTCTCCCATAAAAGTGAAAATTATACACATGATTGGTGTACTGTACATGTACAGTGTGATATTTTCAAATTCTCTAATAGTGTACAGTAAATTAACCTGGCCCCGTGATCTAGTAATGAAGAATTCTCATTGTGAGTCGCGCTAGAACTGAGCAGGCTCTTGTGTTAGGCGAGCTCGTACTGATGTGGTCCAGGCGTAGATCTTTACTCTATAGGGTCAGCAAAAACTAGCTAAGGGCTTGGGGATGCCACGCCCGTATGAGTAATTCCCACTCGCCAGTAGAGAATATATATATGAGTCTAGCTTCTAGAAGGTTCTCGAAGGAGAATAATCACCCTGTAGAATGTCAAGCTGGACAACAGTCAGTGGTGTTTACATTATGTGTATAAATAACCGGCTGTAAATGATCCCGCTGACCCATGAATCACTTTACTGGCGGTGCCATTATCTATATACATTACTCAACTAACTATCAACATATTTGACGCATTGCAGGTGTGAAGCAAATTATCAATTACCACATATGAGCAATCTATCTAGTGTTTAAAAATACCTACTACTGAGAGAGAGCCGCATCATACTGCAACACTCGGATAAGACAACTATAACCGGCCATTACAGGTCATTGAATATTGAATGTTCATAATTATAAATCCATGGTTGTAAGTTATTAATTAATTACTCTAAATAATACAGTATATAAAATTATACTGGTTACAGTTTCATTGTAGTTCCTCCTTAACTGTGGAAAAATTAACATACAGTATTCAGCTGCCTCACTCATCTTCTCTTAAATGAAGAAACATTAACACTTTACAAAATTATTATGATGGATTTGTTTTAAAATGGGGAAAAGACTGATTGTAAACCAAAAAATCATAATGCGGCCCTTGACTGAGGAAGGTTGCCTAACAATACCCATACTGGTTTATACCATTACAGTATCTTATCATAAAAACTGTAACTCAACACAACAAGACAATGGGTGGTAGATGAAGACAATATCTTGTAATGAGGACATAATATCTCTGAACCCCGTTAATGATGATAACACAATGCAGTACTTATGATAAAATAATATGTCCTCGATACAAGTCGCAATTATTTATTCTACAAAATACTAAGACTAATTTACAATATAAAGTAATTTAATTAGCATAGGTAATAAAAACGTATTATCAGTCATTTTATAACTTTACATAATAC